GAAGGAAGGAAGGAAGGAAGGAAGGAAGGAAGGAAGGAAGGAAGGAAGGAAGGAAGGAAGGAAGGAAGGAAAGAAGAGGAAGGAAGGAAGGAAGGAAGGAAGGAAGGAAGGAAAGGAGGGAATCACAACCTTTGCCATTTTAACTCTTTTTCACTTATATAACTCACCTGCATGCATGTTCACTGCAGCACTATTTGCAGTAGCTAAAAGGTGGAAACAATCGAAATGCCAGACAGAGATGACTGGATAACCAGGACGGCGCCTACTCGCGCACTCTTGGAAGTGAGGGCTAAGGGTCTGCCCGCACCCACTCCAGCCCCTCTCTTGTCCTAGATGCTGCCTCCAAGCATGCAGTGCTGGGCTTCTTCGACTGTCTCCGGGCAGAAGTGGAGGAATATGACGTCGTCATCAGCACTATCAGCCCAACTTTCATCCGGTCCCATCCAGGGCAGGGAAACTGGGATGCCTCCATTTGGAAATGTGAGATTCCAGGGGGAAGCTGGAGGGAGGAGTGGGGAGCTGCAGGGAGCTCCAGGGAGTCGGGGAGTTGCGACTTGGGACCGTCTGGCATTGCCGGGCACCAGGGGTGTTCATGGAGCATGAGAGTAGGGGTGTTGGAGTCCTGGCAACAAGCTAATAGGAATGAGACTTCAAAATTTTCATTCTGAGGCACGCAGTCGAGAGAACACTGATCTGTAAGCCATTGGACCATGGTCTGGTTGAGGTATATCACCCATTAGCTGTGTTTGAGCCTCAGTGTCTATGTTCATAATCTTCCTGTTTTCCAACGTGAAGATTCAGGAACCAGGCTATTAGCCTGCATAGCTTGCCTCTGGCATAATGTATGACTGGACACAAATCTCTTCATGTTCTGGGCCTCAGTTTTCCCTTCAGAAAATGTGGTTTAATGGAGATACCTGCCTCATACCGTTGTCTGGCAAGTGTCTGTAGTACAGAAAGGGTTAGCATGCTCATTGCTGACCCAAAGGATTGAGGCCTCCTTGAGCACACTGGAATAAAGGCCTGGTGATCCACTTCCAACAAATCAGCCCGGCCACCCCATACAGCATCATTTTACTCAGACACACATTGGCAGCGCTGTGGGGAGCATGGGGTTTACTGCTGTAAAGGTTTGGAGCAGCCCATGAAGCAAGCTCTGCAAATGCACCGTTTCGCTGTTTCCCATCTCACACACACTGCCATCCAGAGCCTGGCTCCAGGTGACTCCCCACGGGTGTCCAAGGCTGGAGCTCTCAAGGGCAGGAGTTAGCCCATCTTTGTCCTTTGGAGCCACTGGTGGACTCCAACCGCCAGAGGTGTGCTGCCTTTTGGTAAGCAGCTCCACTGGGTTATTCATCTAGAATATTCGGAATGTAAGATGCTGCATTTCGGCCAGTGCACTAGGACTGGACCGGGGAACCCAGATGGACCAACTAGGTGAACAGACCAGTTGGTTCCAAAGGCTCTTGACAAGCACAGTTTCAAACCACAGCGCTGCAGTTCACACGACACCAGCTTTCCCAAGCCCTTCCACACACACTTTGTCCAGCTCACAATCACCCTGCTAAGTTAACCAGGAAGGAAATTGTGCCCATTTTGCAGATAAGGAAACCAAGATCCTGGAAGGTCTCCCTTGGGTCTCCCGCTGTGAGTGGCCATTGTCCTGACAACACACACACACACACACACAGGCCTCCACTCTGGTATATACACACACACACACACACACACACACACACACAGACACACACAGGCTTCCACTCTGGCACACATACACACACACACACATACACACACACACGCCTCCACTCTGGTACGTACACACACACACACACACACACACACACATCCCTCCACTTTGATACACTGACATACATACACGTGCGTCCCCACAACTCTCTGGGCTCCTGGGGGTTCTGACGATCTGAGGCCAGAACAGCACCCTGACCCCCTTTTGGGGGGGCGGGCTTTCAGTCTTTTTCAGGAAGCTGACCTATGGGGTGCACCCCGTGGAGGTGGCCGAGGAGGTGATGCGTATCGTAAGGAGGAAGAAGCAGGAAGTCTTCATGGCCAACCCGGTCCCCAAGGCGGCGGTGTACCTCCGCACGCTCCTCCCCGAGGTCTTCTTCGCTGTGGTGGCCTGCGGGGTGAAGGAGAAGCTCAACGTCCCGGAGGACAGCTAACTGCAGGGCTCCAGCGGGTTCCCAGAATAAAGGCTTTCTCCCGGGCCTCGGGTTTGTGTCCTCTGCGCGAAGCCACAGCCCTAACGCGGGTGCCCTCTGCTGCGCCCTGAGCACCAGCCAGAGTTGCGCTCCCCATACCCTAGCGCTGATACAGGAGAAAGAAGGCCACAAGGGCGGGACTTGAAAGAACTGATTGACAAGCCCGGATCAGGGCCCCAGGCTCCTCTCTGCATCCTTGTCAGCACTCCTGGGCGGTCCCTCGGCTTCTGGTGGCCCTCTCTCTGAGGATGGTCTCCCCCACCAGAGTCTATTCTGTTCTTTTAAAAAACTCAGGGTGAGAACGTTTGGGATACACTCTACACTGATACTGCCTTATTAGCATGAAAAACCCCTCTTTCCAAACAGGCTCACATCCACAGGGGTTAATTAGGATTCCAAGATGGTTTGGGTTAACACTGTTCAATCTATTACATTTCTGGGTAAGCTTCTAGACACTGTAGGTGACAAGTAAACACAAGAGTGACTTTCATGGTCTAACCCTTCCTCCCACTGTGACCATAAGCCTGTGCAGAAAGTTACTCACAAAACTGCCTCCATGTCACACCCAGCTGGCCTGCCTGAGCCAACAGTAGCAAGACATGACACCACCTCCAGACCGTGCTGCCCACTGGAACCTTTGGCAATGTTGGAAATTCCCTGTCCAGCGCTGTCCAGTACGGCAGCCATGTGCTACAAGGGGCTACTGAGCTCTAGAAATGTGACCCATGTGAGTGAGTAATAGGTTTCCTTTAAAATTCAAGTAATCTGGTGGTGGTGGTGGTTATATGCCATCGATTTGCCTGTGAGTCATAGCAGCCCTGTGCACAAAAGCTCTAAACCCTGTCCTATCCTGAGCCAATCTCACTGCCTCTGATACACATGCCCATATTACCCTAGTTACTGTGTCAGTTCATCTCATCCAGGATCTTCCTCTACTACGCTGTCCATCCACCCTTCCAAACATGATGTCCTTCTCCAAGGAATGGTCCCTCCAGGATCTTCAAAGTCCTTGCCTCCAAAGAGAAACTTGGTTTCACTCTCTCCCAGACAGACTTGTTAGTTCTCTTGGTATTCTAAGGAATGTTCAACACTTTTCTCCAGCACCACAATTCAAAGGCATCGATCCTTCTTCTGTCATCCTTAGTCACTGTCCAGCTCTCCGATGCACAGCAAGTATCTGCAATGACGATGGCCTGTTCAGGTGCACCTTAGTCTCCAGGTGGACAGTGTCACTCTGGAGAAGTCCCTGACAGATTTCCCAATGCAATTAGTCTTTTGATTTCCTAACTGTTCGTGCCAAGAACATTGATTGTGGAACTGAGCAGGCTGAAATTGTCAAGTAATCTTAATATAAATTTTATTTCATGTAGACAGACACATGTAGCCAGCAGTATCTGCCAGTTTGGGCAGCACATCAGAAGCACCCAGGAAGCAGTAAGGGTATACCAGCTCCTCTCCCCAGAGAGGATTATTTCACTGGGCTGAAGGGGGTTCAAGTATCCTCTCTGGGGCTTTCACAGCACAAAATACAGGCATTCCCTGCATTAAGAATAAGACTCTGTCCCAAGATTGTCTTTAAGCTGAATTTGTAGCAAAGTCACAAGAGGTATTTTCAGTTCTTCTTTAGGTTTGTAAAAAAAGGCTCTGATGGCATGATGGGTAGAGTGCTTGCCTGCTAACACAAACCAAAAGGTTGACAGTTCAAATGAATTCACCAACCTTTCTGCAGGATGAGGCAGTCTGATACCCTGGGAGACCCTGCAGCTAGTTCTCCTCTGTCCCACAGAGTCCCTGCACTGGAATCAACTGGACAACAGTGGGTTTGGTTAGTCCAAGAACAAGTTCAAAGCCTTTTCAGTTATTTTAAAGGTGCCCATACATGACATGACTGTATTTGTAAGGAAGAATTTAAGAGTCGATTCAATCATATCAAGTGAAGGGTAAATTTATATAATGTTAAAAGGCAAGTCTGAGTTGTTTGTAAATTGGGAATTCATAATCTGGAGACTGCTTCGACCACAAGGGGGTAGCTTTAAAGAACATTCATTGATTTTCTCACAGACAGGTGACTATTGTGCCTGGATCAGGGGCATCTTTGTATCTACACTAACCTTGTTACTCTTTAGCACTCTGGAGAGGTCCCTGACAGCAGACTATCCTAACGCAACTCATCTGCTGATTTCCTGACTGCTGTAGGCAAGAGTGTTGATTGTATTTCCAAGCAAGATTAAATTATTAACAACCTGAATATGTTCTCCATCTATCATAATGCTGCCAATTGGCCATGTGTTGAGAATCTGTGTTTTCTTGATGTTGAGCTTCAATCCATATTGAAAGCTATAGTCTTTGACTTTCCGCAGCTTTCGAATCCTCCTTCGTTTCAGCGAGCAAGGATGTGTCATTTGCATTAACACAGATTGTTGATGAAACTTTCTCTAATCTTGATGCCACGTTCTTCTCCATAAAGGCCAGCCTCCTGAATGACTTGTTTTGCATATAGATTGAAAAGGTATGGAGAAAGGATATGCATCCCTGGTGCACCCTTTCTTGATTTTGAACCATGCAGTGTTGCTTTGCTCTGTTTGGACAACAGCTTCCTGATCTAGATATATGTTTTGTATGAACATAATCAAGTGTTCTGTGATTCCCATTCTTTCCAATGTTAGCCAAAATCTTTGTGATCCACACAGTCAAATGCCTTTGTATAGTCAATAAAACACAAATAGATATACTCCTGGTCTGCTTTCAGCCAATAGCTATCTGACATTGACAATGATGTGTGCTACAGCCGCTTCTGAACCCAGCTGCCAGCAGTTCTCTGTACTTCTGGCAGTTCTCTGTGGACGAACTGCTCTATTCATTTTGGGATGATCTTCAGTACGATTTTGTTTGCATGTGATACTGTTTGATAATTTCCACATCTGTTGGATCACCTTTTTTAGAATGGCAATAAATGTAGATCTCTTCTAGTCAGGTGGCCAGGTAGCTGTCCTCCAGATTTCTTGGTACAACCTGGTGAGTACATCTGTATCGGTTTGTTGAAATATGGCAACTGGGGGGAGGGGGAAGCAGGGAAAAGTGCAACAATGAATGAATGGAAATCTAAAAAAAAGAAAGAAAGAAATATGGCAATTGGTATTTCATCAGTTCCTGGGGCATTATTTTTTTTGTCAACCTCTTAAAAGCAGCTTGAATTTCTTCCTTTATTATTATTGATTCGTGATCATATGCTACTTCATGAAATTGTCTGTGTCTTTTTGGTATAGCGACTCCATGTATTCCTTATATCTTCTTTTGATGCTTCCTGGATCATTCAATACTCTGCCCATAAACATCTTTAACTATTGCAACATAAGGCTTGAATTTGTTCATTTCTCAGCTTCAGAAATGCCAAGAGAGTTCATCCTGTTTGATTCTCTTATTCCAACTCTTTGCACATTTTGTTGTAATACTTTGCTTTGTCTTCCTGAGCTGCCCTTTGAAATCTACTGTTCAACTCTTCAACTTTCTGATTTTGTCTCTTTGTTTTGGTTTCTCAGTGCTCTAGTGCAATATTCAGAGTCTCTTCTGACATCCATTTCAGTCCTCTTTTCCTCCTGTCTTTGTAATGACATTTTTGCTTTCTTCAAGGATGATATTCTATATATCATCCTATAGCTCATCTGGTATTTGTTCATTATTTTAATGCTCAAGGCCTCAAACCTGTTCCTGAAATGGTCTTTTAATTCAAGTGGAATAGATTCAGGGTCATATTTTGGCTCTTGTGAGTGTGTTTTGATTTTCTTTAGCTTCAACTTGAACTTGCACAAAAGTAACTGATGGTCACGGTCAGCACCTGTCCTATTTTTCAGAGCTGACATTGAGCTTCTCCAGTGATTGTTTCCACAGATGTAATCAATCTGATTCCTGTGTAGTCCATCTGGTGAGGTCCATGTGTACAGTTATTGTTTGGTTTTGGTTTGGTTTTGTTTTTTTAGCTGTGGCTTTGGTTTCTTTTTTAAAAAAATTATTTTATTAATTTTAATGAACATTTACAGAGATTTTGTATTTCCATTCATTCATTGTTGTATTTTTCTCCCTGCCCGCCCCTCCCCCCAGTTCACGCTTCTCTTTGAAAAGTAAAGGAATGTTTGGTTTTTTTATAAAACGTATTTTGCAATGAACAATCATTGTACAAAATTCTATTATTCTATCTCTAGCTTCATTTCTGTCACCATGTCCTTATTTTTCTTTGTCCTGAGCACTTAACCATTATTGCTCCACTAGAGAGTGTATGCTCGCTCTCCCGATCTTCGCATGCGCGTGTGTGTGTGTACATGTAAGAGTTGATTCGATGGCACTTAATTTATATATATATATATTTCCTATCTAAATCTAGAAATTCAAGCTAGATTTAGAAGAGGCTGTGACATCAAGGATATCATTACTGATATCAGATAGACCTTGCCAGAAAGCAGAGAATACCAGGAGGAGTTCTATCTGTGTTTTATGTACTACAGAAAATCATTTGACTGTTTAGACCGCAACAAATTATGGCTAACATTGAGACAAATGGGATTCCCAGAACTCTTATTTATGTTCATGTGAAATCTATGTTTAGATCAAAGAGATATTGTCCAAACAGAGCAAGGGAACACTGCACGATTTAAAATCAAGAAAGGCGTGTGTCAGGGCAGTGTTCTTTCTCCATACCTATTCAATCTGTACGTTGAGAACATTATTCAAAAGTCTGGACTTTATGAAGAGGAATGTGCCATCAGGATCAGAGACTCACCAACAACCTGTATTATGCACATGATACAACTTGCTTGCTGAAAATGAAGAGAACTTAAAGCACTTGCTTTAGGCCCTTTAATATGAATTGCATCTCAACATCAAGAAAACAAAGATCCCATCATTGGGCCAACTGGCAATATCATGATGGATAGAGAAAGAATTGAAGTTGTTAACAATTGCATCTTGCTTGGA